GTGGAGAGGGCGTGGCGCTCAGCTGCAGGTGGGGAGGTGTGGGGAAGGCTTGGGGGAGCAGGGCCAGGGGAGGTGTTTAAGCACACCTGGAATCAGTTGGCTAATCGCTCTCCCCTCTTTAAAATAGCAGCGTGCTGGACCCGGAGGGAGGAGCGGCAGCACGGGAAATCACTGATCCACCGGATTGGAAACACTGAACTCTACCAAAGCTCAACGCTGTGTGTGTGTGTGTGAGTGTACAATAAAAGTCTTACGACAAACCTATCTATCTATCAAGGCACCCACTGTGGCTCAACCGCCACATCCATATATAACACATTATTCCGACTTTTCAAAACCATTCGTCAGAGGCTAGTACTGTAAGATAAACATATTCAATTTTAAAATCAGCTAAGAACGGGTCATCCCCTGAATAGTGAAAGGTTTGTGAATATCTAATAGCCACCAGAAGACTGTATGGATCAAACGTCTCACACAACTGTCAAATGAGATGTTTTTGAGAGTCGCCCGGAGGCCCTTTTGTTGAGCGGGACACTAAAGAGAGTAGGGCCAAGATGAAAGCGAGCATGTGTTCAAACAAAAGACATTATAATCACGAAGGCTTTTGAAGAACACCAGGTCTCATCATGGGAGAGACGCCCAACAACAGTGGCTCCACTCAAAGGTCAGGAGGCATGTGAGTTCTATTGGTGAGGCTGTCACTCTAAAGGACGAGATGCACTGGACAATGGCTGCTCCCTTCCGTGGATGTGTCTATGCTATGTTTCGACAAAAAGAGGGAGTCTCTGAGGTCACTTCAACTCATTGAGCAACCAGTCTGATGTCAAATCTAAACTTATCGTATCTGATATATTAATAAGACTAATTTATTTATGGTACTGGTATATGAAGCCTCCTCTTGCTGATATATATATACTTTTTAATTCAGTCAACACACTTTAATTCACAGTTATTTTTTTCTTTTCCATTCTATACATTATATTAATATTTTTTTAATGATTTAAAAAAAAACGCTTGGGCAGGGCCACCAAGCGTGGTGCCGCTTTGGCGAAAACATGAAAACGTGTTTTAAAGTTACATGTTAAAATCCAGAAAATTTTTTTTTTTATTGTATGTCGTTGATTTGACAAATTAGAAAGAAATTCAGTAATAACAGTTAAAGGTTTTTAAGCTAATGGGGAAAAATAAAAGAAAAAACTCCACGGTAACGTTCGAAGCACAAAAGCCATACCACAGGACTGTCAGAAGTTGAATCCTATGATGAAGCATGAACAGAAACAACAATGGAGACCACCATAACTTTTCACAGTATATTTAAAAGGGCGATTTCTAGACTCAAAGGCAAACAATGGTGTGCCCTTTATTCCAATAAGTTCACTTACCTCTAACACCATTAAAGGTTCATCCCGCTTTCCCCTAAAAATGTATGCTTTAACAACAATGACCATTAAATCCAAATGCAAAGCAGGAACTATGAATGAAAATATAAAAATGTCTTTTCAAAGGGATCTGTGAACACCTGCAGACATTTCACAATGTATACAATCAGCTGAATTTTTCAAATTGCATTCAGCAGCAAACAATGATTGAGCATGATGCACCACACAGTTAGAAACCAGGAAAAAGAGAAAAACGTTGAGCTTTGTCATTGGCTGTTTTGACTGCACATCTTTTGAGTCAGTCCTTTGATCTAGCACCTGAGTGGTTCTCCATTTGGCGATGGTGTGTCACCAGTACTGGAAAAAAGGAATGCAGTGGTGGAAACAGACCAGAACCAAACAGGCACCTGAGTGTTTTGGTCAAAACAAGAGATTCAGACTGCAAAAGCTGTGGGTCAGTCTGAATCATTGTGGAAAAACACATCTGATAGAATGGAACCGTGATAAAAACACACCCTCCCTTTAGCACTGTTGTGACCATATTAGGTTGTGCTTATATTATAGGTCTCAAGAAACTTCTAAACTGTTCTATACTCATTACCAGTCTCAGAGTGCCTGCATGATTGGATTTTTTATGCACATCTGTGGCATAAATTTAAAAAAAAATGACGTTCTAATCACAGGTGTTGGAACCATTCAAGGCTGTGAGTTGAATTCAATAAATAATAGCACTTTGGGCGACTCATTTTTTGCCTGGCTGGTTCTCCAACCTTTCAAAGCAGGTCATGACAAAGCAATCAATCTGGCCTCATTGACGGGGCTCTGTAAATAGGAGACAGCGGAGGTCATCAGTAGAGCCCAGTTGGGCGGCTGTCACATATGAGAAACAGTGAGCCAAGTGACAAACTACCATATCACTGAAACCACTCTGGCAAGGGTCCTCGAGGATCAGTGGCGTTGAAAGCAGCATGTGTGTATGACCGCAAGGCACGGACAAAGCAACACACAGGCAAACACAGTTTACTCTCCACATTTTCTGGCACATTTTTTCAGGAATATTGTCAGTGTGCAGGAGAAAGGAGGAACAAAGAGGTGGGCCGAACAAAGGAACTAAGTCTGCAGCTCTTCTTTTGCTATGTCAGTTTAAGCTTACTTTTCAGCATGCTAGCAACACTCAGAAGGCAGCTAAAGAATCACACCAGTGGTTTAACGGCGAACATTTTAACGTCTTCCAATGGTTCCAAGTCTTTACTTTCATATGAATAAAAATGTGTGAGTCTTAATAACCAGTTTTAGAGATAACCTACAACAGACCTACATTTCTAACAGCTCCAACAGGTTATTATGCTACATTTAGTTATACTGATACAAATATAACTAATATTCATTTTAATTCTAATTTGTGATAGAGCAAAACAGAAAAAAATTGGATGAATATTTTCTTCATATGCGGTCACTACCGTCAGGATTAAATAATCAACTATGAAGAGTTTCTTTTTTTTAATCAGGAGTCTACCAATTTCACACATGCTTACAATGTTTCCTGACATTTCAATGAACTGTCCATAACATATTTTGGTCAAATAACACAGAGAAGCACAGGAGTCCATCCATTATCGTTACCGCATATTCCTAATGGGTTCGCGGGGAGAACTGGAGCCTATCCCAGTGGTCAATGGGCGAGAGGTACACACCCTAGACAAGCACAGGAGTGTTTTTCTACCGGTAATTAATTTTTCATCATAAAAAAGAAGATCTCTCTCCCTCAAAGTCTGCCTTTTGCAATTAAAGTCATACTCTATTGCCCTTGAAGCACATCGTTATGTTTTTTGGGGGATTAAATTAACTGCAGCTGAAATGTTTAAGCCACATTTATCCGTTAAATTTCCATTTTTTTTAATGTAAATTAAAATACGGAGCCATGGAGTTCCTCAGGGTTCTGTGCTTAAACCAATTCTTTTCTCATGCTTCCAAAATGTAACTTTATTAGACAGTCGGGCAATGATTTCCCTCACTATGATGATACTCACCTGTATCTAATCAATGACACCAAGTGAAACAAGTCAATTGGAGAAATTCAAGCATGTCTTCCAAGACACATTACAGAATATTCTGTTCCATTGGCTATGTGAAAGTTGTAAGGACTAAATAAGGAAATTTTTTAAAAAATGCTAAAAACAATGCAAATTAAGTTTATGTCTTGAATCAATGGAACTATTTCACTCTTTATAGATCTAATGTTAATAGCAAAGAAATAAGCAGGGGGAAAGTGGTTGCACTTTCCACCTCTGTAGCGCAGTGGACTACCATCATTTGAAATTTGAACTAGGTGAAGATAATGAGAACATACGTGCATTTCATTGTTCAAGTACTTGTTACTGTGTTCAATAACAATAAAGTGGAATCTTATCTAATCTGATGCATCTGATACCAGAAAAACCTGAAAAGCAATATAATTTTCTCACAAAAATCTGAACAACCTTTATGGATGGTTTTGTTCATTCATGCGTCATTTTAGTATCAAGCTCCAAAAGTATATTGAAAAGCACAGATAAAAAAGGTTTTCCTGTGTGACTGATAAGTTTACTTTATAACCTGGACAATTCTGACATTGGAACTGCACAGACAAGGTTCTTAGCCTATTACTCTGCACCACTAGCAGTTTTTTCATTGTCTTAATTGCAGCAACAATTAAGACAACGCTTTTTGTAAAAGGTATTCAACTTTTTAACAGAGTTATATACAACCTTCTATTCAGACAACTTGCTCTTCTTGTGAATAAAATGTAAGCCAGCCGGTGTAGTTTTGCACTAATAAAGCATCAAAGGAATTCTAATGGCTCCTTTTTTGTGAACATTTACAGAACCTGAGCCCCAAAACAGAAGCAGTGCCTTTCTGCAGGGCACCTCAACCTCAGCTTGTATTTTTCTGTTTCTCCTCCTGAACGAGCTTAGGGAGTCAGGCAGTCACGGATGTCGACAGCGGTACAAAAACAGACAGAATGACTTCAACCTACTCTGCCAGGCAGCACACTCTGCATGAGTAGAGAGTAAAGAATGTAAAAGGCTTTCTTCCTGACAGCCACAGCTTTATACCCAGCACTTGTCACAGAGCAGCCAGCCGCCCTGATGAAAGCCCAGAGCAGATAATGCCACAAAGAGAGGCAGATCCAACTTCCCAGCCTGGAAGCCTGAACTTTCCCTGGGCCTGGATAAGGGCGAACTCTGTCATATGCAACAATGCTAATGTAAAAGGAGCGAGCTCGCTGCCTGGCTTGGAATCTATGCAGATAAGAAACGGAAAGAAGAATAAAGCCCTTCACGACCCACACAGCGAGATGCGGGAGCTGCAGGGCTATGTATTTAAAAGATTAGCTCATGTTTGGCCACAGTCTGAATCCACTTAGTTTTAAATTGCCCCCAACCAGTCTGTTGAGGAGGCCCGTGGTTGACAGCTGAACCTGTTGCTGTGGTCATTCCACAGAGTAGATACTTGGAAAAACTAAGCAAGTAATGGTCAACTACAGTGGAAACAATACACTCCCAGGACCTGACTACCAAACAAACATCACATCACATCAATAAAAACAACTGCCCCTGTTTCTTGAAGTTTTCTACTCACTTGTTTTGTTGCACTTGACTTTGGAAAGAAGCTTGTGAGCCAATAGAAGATCTCCATTCTTCACTGCCACCAGCAGATCCTGTTCTCTCCCCATGGTTACAGATGTGACAGCAGGCCGGGTGACGGACGAGGATTTGTTTTTCCTCAGCTCTTCAAAGAGTTTCGTCAAACTTTTGCCAGCACATAAGAAAGTGGTCGCTCAATCACAGCCATGGGATAGTGCCGGTATATGGAAGGCTAAGCAGGATTTACAGAGGAATTGAGTCAGGTGAAGTGTTCACAGAAACATTCCTGCACACGTTGCTCAGCTTCATGGTCTCTGACGGCTTCCCAACTGTTTAATGATGTCGCTTCAGCTTCTTGCAGGGCTGAGTGGATGCTCATAGTCTGTCCCAGTCATCATAGAGGTGGAAGTACCAGCCCAACCTGCCAACACATTGCAAAAGAGACGATAAAAGAACCTTCAAAACCAAAGTTTTATAGTGTTATGTAAGTATTGTGGCAGGAAACCAAAGAGAAGAGCAAAAACAGTATGTATACCGTATTTTTGGGACTGTATGTCGCACTTTTTTACATGTTCTGGAGTATAGGTACGACCATGCCAGAACAACTTATAAATGAAAAATATGCCAGTAGATTCTCAATTAATTTACCATAATAAAACAATTTTACAGAGTGACAGAGTCGCTCTATATTTTTCAAAATGGCCAACAGAAACGGAAATGCAATGCATCATGGCCACTGTAGTCCGACAAATATATTATCATCTGAACTTTTCATGTTAACTACCTGTATGTTCATGTGACTTATAGTCCGGTGAAACTTATTCTTGGTTTATTTTTCTTTATAATGCATATATTGGCTGGTGCCATTTATACTCCGGTGCGACGTACTCCAGAAAATACAGTAATTTAATTTAAACATGTTAAAATAAAATAACACAATTATAGATTCAGGTCTGCTTGCACTCTTAACAGCCAAAATACATAATTGGTTGAGATAAATCTCAAACTAGTACCATTAATCCAGAAAATAAGACAGACTACAGATGTATCAGGAAAATGTAGTATATATGACCGGTGAATTCATCCACTGGTGGGCATGAAACCAATGTGGGAGTATCTTAAAGCTCAATACGGCCAAATGTTTTTGGGCATTTGGGCATCACTCTGGCTCCAAAGACTCTCATTCAAAAAAGTCCCTCTGAATGTAGTTCTACAATTCAATAAGTAGAAGGGTTATGTTCCAAGGAGGCACTCTGAGCTGTTTGTTGTTGCTAGTTCACCCTTTTTTAAATGAGGTTGCCTCCACTCAGTTGAAAACTATAGAACTGAGAGAAACATCTGCATAATCAATATCACAGTCCTGTGCAGAGCTGCGGTTCACACTGACCAAATTTCAGAACTACTATTGGTCCACTAAGGAACTATTTGAAGCATCTCTCTGCTGTCAACTCCATGAAAGATTCAAGTCATTTTCATTTCAACAGGTTCTTTAACTTTAGCTTCTTTAGCTCCTATCTCCATCTACATTTAGACTCTTGCGAGTCTGTTAAGGCACTCGGGGTCATCTATATCCTGGTCGTTTTTATGTACAGTACTATCTCTGAACATGGAACTCAGAATAGACAGACACTGTGAGAACAGGCTCATCTATAATTCATTCTTGTTACTGGTGTATTTTGTTGAAAAAAAGTGTTATCATCTAAATAAAAATGCACAGTCCTCATTTATTTTTTGCGTTTTTATACGCTTTTCCTTCAAGGTGGACACCAGAAACACACCTCTGCCGAAATATCTTCACTTCAGTACCCACAAAAATCTATTTTTGCCCAAATGTCCCACACAATGAAGGGGTCCATCCTCCAGTCAACTTATATGTCTCCACCTTGATGAAAAGTATCTTTCTGTGTGTAAATCTTTTGGGACACTTTAATAGATTTTTATTTTAACGTAAATCAGTCAGTTGTCCTCAGTTGTTCAGCACATTTTAAATTTGTCCAAATTCCAATGTCTAAGCTACACCTTTCCCATTCACCTAATACCAAAACCCTTTTTACTCCATAAAAGCACTCTATAGACTGCATTTGGCATCTTTTTTCAATATCCAGCACACCCATAAGTGCACAGGGGGGCAATGTGGTGCTCTGTGTTATGTCCAGGGTCTTCCAGGGCAGTGTGGGGAGAAGAGAGATCAAACCATGCATTAAATTGGGAATGGAAACACACCTGTTTCTGTTCAGTTCCAGTCCACTCTGCTGCAAACTGCCCTGAAAGGCAAAGAGATATGAGCTTTGGATTTGGAATGCGATTAATGTGACTTCATGGCCTCCTGCTGGGCTTTCAAAATGTTCAAGCACAAAGATTTCCCTTTTTTGTGTTACTTTTTATGAAGTTAAGTCTGAGACACTTTTAGCCCAGATCATATGTGACCATAAGTACAACAGCTCGCTACTCTGGGTGGGGGGGATACAAAATCAGTCCATAATAAGTCAGAAATTGTAAAGAAAGATAGATATCTTCAACACTTTCTTCACCTGTAGTGTCACCTCTAAACAGTTTCATAATGAAACAAAAAAAGAATGTATGTTTTTATTATGTTTCTACTTTCTAGTAAGTTATCAGTGTGGCCTTACAGGAAAATAGAGGTGGACAAAAAATGCATTTAAAAAGCCGGAAACAAAATGTGTTGTTGTATTTTTCAGTTTGTAATACCATATGTAAATAGGTAAAAAGCACACTGTCATGATAAGGCGGGAGCCCTCAAACTGACCCAACTTTTGTTTGTTTTCTCTGGACCAGGAAGCCTGGTCCGTCCGGAGCCAAAAGCTAATCTGTTACTCTTCCCGTGTAGAGGAGTAATGTCTTTGTCCACTGATAACAACATCTTCTCACATGAGCACGGCAGGCATCCTGCCAGCTTATGTTTTTTTGGGCGGGAGAAATTAATCTGACTTAAGCAAAGAAACTGTTTCCTAGACAAAACTGAGAAATTTTCCGAATCACGGACACAAACCAAATGAGACCTAAACGGAAAACAGAAGTACTCTTAAAGGGGCCTTTAAAATACTCAAAAAGCCTCAATGGGTTTTTGTGCTTCTGACGCAGTTATCGGATCAACAAGTTATATCACCTCAAAGTAGAAGAAGGGCTTCTGCGGTCAGTGAAAAACTAAAAAAAGAGATGTGCAAAGGCAAGCACTACCTCTAATTCCAACCAGGAAGCTCATGCAAAAGAAAATGTAAGGCATTATTGTTCATTGTTATTATTGTTTTGATCAGTTGGACCTCATAAGTTTAATAACTAGACTCTGTCATGGTACAGGAAGTTTTTATTTGTATAGGCTCGGTGGGTTTATCTTTATATTTAAAATGTTTGTTTATATATTTAATTAAATGTTTTTGCAATTTGTTTCTGATGGTCCAAATGACTTTTTTACTAAGTTTTAATTACACAATAAAAAGATGATTGGTTGAAAATGTGTAAAACCGTTTTCCTTTAGATTTCAAACATCAGTGTCTGATAGTGTCCACTATGAGGCCAAGAGGTCAAAGTCCAAAGAAAAAAGATGGAGGTTCAATGAAAATGAGCATCTTATTTTGTCCGCCAGCCTGTGTAGAGTTGCCAGACAGATCCTTCATGTAGGTGTCCACGCAGAATGCAACTCACTAACAGATTCCAAATGCATTACTTTGCCCTGACACACGATCTAAAACTGGCCAGACAGGCACCTTGCGGTGCAATAAGCCGCACAACTCCTGCTGGCCTGAACCAGGGTATAAACGTGGCATCTAAATTTGGATTATTGGCACTAAAGTCGGAGGAAGTCCTGGTGGTTCAATGGGATAACACCAACAAGTGATAAATACTTCTGTCCCAAAGGAAAACCTATGGTGTCACGTTTTGTGATGCTACTATATGCATGTAATAACATAAAAACACATTTAAAAAATTGTTCAAGTGAATAAAAAATCTAATTGAAATTCAAGGTCATAATATACATTGGAGTAAATATTCCCCTTTCCTTAAATATTGATTTATTGATTGATTAACACTTTATTGATCTCACAAGGAGAAATTAACACATTTTACTGTGTTTTTAACTAACTATATGCAGGCTATTTCAGACCAAACCCCAGCATCAATTGGGATTCATTACGTAATCCAGCTTTTCACCCAAAATCAAGCAATTCAAATCTGATATAAACATTAAGATATCCATACCGTTGGAAAACAGCATTTCAAATTTTAAAAAATCTGGGATACCACTTGGTCGTCTCATGTTTTAATACCGAACACGTTTTCAAAGATTACTTATTGCCTTCCTCCATTGAAAAATCCCGAAGCAATTCTTGTAACATATGCCCCGTTAAATCTTGACAGTCCATATTCTGAATTTGACATAAAACAATGTAAGTCGAATAAAGTTATCTCGCGCGCTGCACTTTGCATTTGAGTTAGACAACGGCAACCGTAAATGTCTCAACTCAAGTGTCGGGGGGTTCTCGGTCGTCCCACCACGTAGAAGTCCGTTTACGTGTTTCCCAACTTGTCTAAAATGTCAGGATACCGTGGTAAGTGAAAACGCTAACGTGTTTCCCTCCACGAGGAAGAGTTGTTTAATAAAACAGTTTCGACAGCTTACTCGGAATAAACAGGAGAATTCTCACCTGATATAGTCAGTCACTGGCGGGGTTGTTCTACTAGTTCACAGCCGAGCGGGGAGATGAGCGCTGGCTAAACTGAGCGTAACGCGACGTCAAGTGCTCGTGCACGTATACGCACTACTTCCGGTCTTTGCTTTAAAAAAATAAGACAGTTAATGTCGCATTTCCTGAAAATATCAAACTTTGATTTTTTATTTATTTCGTGATTTAAATACGATTTAGCTTTAAGCAGGAGCACATTCTGTAGTCAATGGTACGTTTTTACGTGGACTTTTTAAACTACTTCTTTATCATTTTGAATATCTGCCATTCTTTTAAAGAGGAGTGACGTTCGAGCTCCAGGTTTGTCTGTAGGATTTTAGATGTGTTTTTTAGGCGTTTTTCTGTCCGTGTACCGTGCTAGAATTTAAAGACGGCAAGTTCGACCCTGCTGCATAATTATACACCTCAAGGTTTTACTCACGAGGGTCAAAATGACTAAT